GTCATTCGCTCCGACGAAGGGCTAACGCTCGAAACGTCAGCTTTTATAACCGTAACGGTGGCCATTCGCTCCGTAACCGTGGTCATTCGCTCCGACGAAGGGCTAACGCTCGAAACGTCAGCTTTTATAACCGTAACGGTGGCCAATTTACCATTTCAACTTTGTTGATATATTCAAATTATTATCAGTTATTATGCAGACTGCTGTGGATCTACTTGATTCGGTAGATATTCACTTGTCAGTGGAAATGTACTTTTAATAACTCGTATACAGCTTGACCTTTATACAAGAAGTTAAATGACATTTCAGCAAAGTCAAACTCCGGACAAATGAAAGTTAACGCACCGGTATCTGAAGGGAAAATCAGCTTGGGAGATACGTAAGCTTTCATCAGATGCTAAGTTAATGATATGTTTTTTTGTTTTCTTGTCTTTTTTAAGGCATAAAACTAACAACTCAGCCTCATGCACTGGCAGAGGATAAACGATCATGACAGGTATTTCCTTTTGTGTATTTACTAGTTGCTTAGAATTTATCTCCAAAGTATGGAGATTTTATTATTTTAATTCTGCTTTTAATCAGCTGTGTATACACGCAGTACATGCAGCACACAAAGAGCACAGATTCATGGCGTTAAAATGATAAAACCCAGTTTGAGCCTGTTCCGGTTGACTTGACCCGTATAATTGTAGCGCAATTCCATTTGAACGTTTTTGACCATGGTTACCAAACAGTAGACATCAAGGGTGGGATAAGGATATGGGTTGCATTTACAAACCAGAGAATATCCGAGATCCAAATTCAAAACACTGATCCCCGTTTCGTTTCTTTAGGATCCATAGCACTTAAATTGTAGTATCAGAGCGTGACTCAGCTTGAAATAGTTACAGGAGCATGAAAATCTCGGAGCAATTACAGATTGAATACTGGGTCTCCGAGGTCCACATTAACAGCAGTGTACGAGAAAGAGAAAAATACAAACAATGCACCTCTGTGATTCGATGACTCTTTCTTCAATGAGCTTGGTTTCAACAAGGGTTTATTTACATTTGAGATATTGCTCGCTTGAGATAGTTAAGGTACATTCCTTGGTGTCTGAATGCAAATCTGTTTGGGTAACGTTGAAATGGTTTTTGGCCAAGCCTAGCGTATTATAGAAAGGTAACCTAAGTTAGCATCAGAATGCATCTCTATGCGTTTAAGGTGATGGTTTGTTTTCTAGTCTGTTTTTTTTTTCCTTGCACATTTTCAACGTGAAAGACCAAACTGAGTGAGAATTAGTCTCTGCGAGAGAAATTAAGATTTCAACCTTGTGCACGGATAGAGATAGAGGAATTGTCGTGAGAAGAGGTAAATATCATAATTCGATCTATTCCAGGCTTAGCGTTCACCGCTAAAGTACAGAGTCGTTCTCTAATCTGACCTTGCTTCAGTCTTGCGTTTCTTTGTCTCCCGCTTGGTTTTAAAGTCGATTCATACAGATTCAGTTAATTTTTAGGCTCTTAGTCCTTCTGAATATACGTCTTTTCCCGTGAAAGGGGGCTCTCGCAAATTACAAGAGGGTAAATCGTGATATCGGTTCACTCGGTGCTGCAACAGCACTTGAAATGCGGTGTTAGTGCGTGACTCAGCTTTACTGATCTAGTTGTCAATGCATGGAGATCGCGGAGCAACTAGAGATTGAGGTCAATTATATCTGCAGTCTTTTCGGACGGTGATATTTACCCAAGAGACGGTGGTGCGATTCGATGGCTCCTAAACTACTTCAATGAGCTTGCTTTCAACAAGGCTTTTGTTTACGTTTGATAAAATGGCTGCTTGAGAAATTAGTCTCTAGTAAAAGATCAAGATCTCAACCTTCAACGTGAGAAGAGATAGAGAAAGTAGTTATCATGAGAAGTAAATATCATTGTTCGATATACTAAAGGCTTCTCTTTCACCGCAGAAGTACGGTCTTTTCCTCTAATCTGATCTCGCTTCATTTATGCGTTTCTTTGTCTCACGCGTGATTTTTAAGTCGATTCGTAGCAATTGAATGATTTTGAGTTCCTTTGCCTCTTCGTACATATTTCTTCTCCCGAGAAAAGGCGGGCTCTGGAATTCAAAAGAAGGTAAATATTGGCGGCGTTTCATCGGTTCTGTTTCATTGTAGTCAGGATATACAGCATCTAAATTTCAGCATAAGTGTGTGTTTCATCTTGAACTAGTTATAAGTGCATAAAGATCTCAGAGCAACAACAGATTGAATGAAGGACCACTGACCGGTTCTTAAGATCGAGAAATGACACAAGAGACAGTGGTGTGAGTCACTAGAATGTAAATAAGTGGCAGAGCAGCGCATTCTATAGTTTTATTATAGTTTGTGTTACAAAAACAATTCTTAAGAAAAACTGGTGGATGTAACGAGCTGCAAAACAAGAAGTCATCGACATTTGATTTTGTATACCTGAATTTTTCTTGGGACAGTTGATTCCCAAATCTCTGTGTTCCTAACATTACGCCAAAGTTTAGTTGATTCATCGAAAGGAATACAATGAAAAAAGGTTGATTAAAAGGATGACTCTTTTTTTAAACCCATCTCATTCGCCGATTTCGCATGATAGTTCTTTTGTTGTTGTGAGGATCAGCAGCAGTTTAATTTCAGTATTAGAGCGTAACTTAGCTCAAACTAGTTATAAAGCCTGAACTAGTCATATGTGCATGGAATTCTCAGATAAACTACAGACTCAATAAAAGGCCATCGAGGTCCACATTATCTGTAATCTTTGAGAACAAGGAATCACAAAAGGGCCCGTGGTTTTGAAACCGATTCAGATCCATTTCATTGGTTTTTAACTCGTTGGTCTTTCTCTATATATGCTTTCCCAAAAATGAGAGTTCGCAGATAACGACAAGTTAAATCCCAATATCGGTTTATCGAAACTGTTTCGTTCTGGCCAGGATCAGTAGCAGTTAAACTTTCATATTAGAGTGTTACTTAACTTAAACTAGTTAGAAGTACATAAAATTCACGGATAAATAACACATTGAATAAAGGGCCATGAAGGTCCACACTGTCTGCAGTCTTTGAGAACGAGGAATGACACAAGAGACAGTAGAGTGTTTCATAAAAATAAAATAAGTGGCCTTGCATTCCTCACCTTTCCCAAAAAACTCTTAATAAAAGGTCGTGGCAATCAGTGGATGTAACAATATATAGAGCAAGGATGTGTTGACATTTACTTGAAGGTGGCTCCATTGTACACAAGGCTTATTATTCCCAAGTTTTCGGGTTCCCTATTCTGCCAAAGTCTTGTCGATTTATTAAAAGAAATACTGGTACAGACTTCTTCTCTACTATTGCTTCAGTCGTGGGTTTCTTTGTTTTCGGAGTGGTTTTTACGTCCATTCCTATCCATTTCATTAATTTTTGGCTCCTTTGTCCTTCTGTTTGTGTTATTTTCTCAAATGGGGGCTTGTTTAACGAGGTTCCTTTAAATAATGGTTTATTTATGTTTGAAATATTACTCGCGTGAAAAAGGAAAATGTGTCGTCCTTACTGTCTGAATAAAAATCAGTTTAGGTGATGCTGCAATTTAATTTAATTTAATAATAAGTTCTTATATAGCGCATTAAAATTGAACTGTATGCGCTTTACAATTACAATTAACAAAACTTCAATAAAAATCCTATACATGCAATTTTCGCTACTCTATCTAAACTAATGAATTATTACGTGTTATACATATATTTGACAACGTACGATATCGAAAAATCTGGTGGCTTAATTTTTGAAAAGATAAGTTTTCAATAAGCGTTTAAAGGAGTCAACAGATTCGGCGTTTTTTATGCATTCAGGTAGTTGCTTGATACATTTTGTTTCTCGTTCGTCAATCTACTATACTTAAGAAGGAAACAATTAATTTTATCGATTTCCCGCCTCATTTCATGACCGATATTGAGGGAGGTAAAATGACTTGGCACTATATTTCGAAGGAAGGATTTTGAATGTTTAAAATAATCTCACAAATTTCGTGGTGTTTGTACGTCGTGACTAACGAAAAAGAAAACCAAAATTAATAATCAAATGGTTGGTCCCTGTTTGAGTACTCCAATGAGGTTCTGTCCGTGGACTTGAGGTCATTGTTTTGTCCACCAACCCATTGCTTGGTGATCAGTTCTTTCAACATATGTTAGAGAGTACGTAATTCTCCTAATAAGATACATTTCATAGACATTGAATCGGTTGAAAATCTTTTCAAGACCTCTCACCTGTCGAAGTATAAATTAGAATTTTCATCGTGGCGGGTGATAGCTATTTCACTG